TTCACAATAGACGTTTATACACCATTCGATAGAGAATTTCAAGAGCTACATTTTGCACTATTTGTATTTCAAGATAGATAAAATCGACTTTTTGGCCTAATGTCCGCTTAGTTGCCCACTGTGCGTTAGAAGCTCGTAGTTCATTCATTTTACGAAAATACTTAGCTCATTGAGCTTGAAATGGAGTAGAATCGAGTAGTACAGGAGCTTTTCGTGTCTGTCCATATTTGAAGCCTAGACGTTTCATTTCTTCACGTAATCTTGTTATTTTTTTAATTGGAAAATCTGGATCTTGTGCTAGCAGTGTTGATAAGATATTCTTCAGTGTTGGATACACTTTGTCTTCCAGCAACAGATGAAATGTGAGCCGAATCGTATCTCTTTGCATTTCAGTAAGGAAAATCTTTTGACGGTGAAATCGACCTCTTAACGGTGACAATGCTCGAGGTATTGAGGACGTAGAAGAAGCAGATGACGTACGGCGTAGAGCATGTTGAGTATTCAGTTCTTCTTGTTGAGCAGTTTTGGTCTCGTTCATTTCTGCCTTTAAGTTCCGAATTGACCTCTCCGAAATTCCCAAAAGTGCCTGCAGACGACCAGTCACATTATTCAAATTAATTGTTAGACCAGTTTTTTCTTTTTCAACGAAATCAATTATTCGAAAAGCCAGTTGTTTGAAATCTTTCGAAAACTCTTTTGGCATCTTTACGGTCAGTTAACGTTTTTTAGAGCAAAAATGACTGATATTTTTCAAACGACACGTGTCTGATGTAATACGCTCTCTTTTTCTCTCCTTCGGCCTCTTTCTGTCATCGCAGGTGTGACATAGCCGTCTGCGACGCAGACTACACGCAAACAGAGAAGCGAGTTCGGTCAACAGAACGAAAAAAATCTCTCTCCGCTCCTCTGTAGCCGATATGCACGTAAGGCAGCGTAATATTTGAACGGTACTTTATATATCGGCTACAAAATGACTCCCAAACTTCTTGAAAACATTGCCACGTTAATTAGCGCATGCGATAACCTATGTTTCAACCATTCTCACATTTTTTTCTGCAAGAAAATAAGGTCTCAGGCAGGTCCGGGGAAAATCCGAGCCCTGCCCGAACGCTGAGAGATAGCGGTTTGGTTCTTTCGCCGACTTGTAGCGGAAGGTCTGGTGGTTCGAACCTGCGTCGGGGAAATTTTTTTGCTTGATTTGGCAACCTACTCTTTCCAAGGTTGATGAGGCTTACCACCTGCAGGTGGTGTACCTTGCGGGGCTTACTGTTAAGATTGCGTCAAAAATCGTCCTCTATACGATGGTGAAAACCGCAGGCCGCTAAGACCTTTCGTTAAAAAGTTATTTGAAAAACGGCAACCGGCACGACCTTTCCGTTTCGATAGTAGTTTGTTTACACCACCGGAATAAACAATAATCTTCCTCATGTCCTTCCCAATCACGAACTAACTGGAACTAACTTGGCCGGTAGGCTAACTGTAGAGATGAAATGAATGACTAACTTCGCAGTGTTCCGTTCTCTTTCTATAACATCAAACAAAATGATTTCCTTTTCTGTGACGTTATCCATATATAGTAGTGTTTCATTTGGACGAAAGGAGAATGAATAACGAATCTTTCACTTTCATTCATGTCATATATCTGTTTTTTTTCGGTCTCTCTATGCGTTAATCCTTTTAAAAAAGTCGTGAAAGTGTGAAAAGGACATGTAAAAGAGATGCCACAAACTCACTTATCGAGTATAGTGTCTTTCTTATTACCTTTTTCTGCGAAAATCACGACTAATCCTTTCACATATTCCGTGAAATGTATCGACACATTTTTAAAGGACATGAAATAAAACTTTCGCTTTCATTCTTTGATGAATGTGAAAGTAGTGTAAGAAAGAGAATAGCAATACTCATTTTGTCTCGTCCGTAACCAAACGTTACCCATGTATAGAAAGCAAAGTCTACGTCTTATGATTCTCGTTAGGCACATTCTTTTTTCCTATTTTTTAATCTAGGTTAGAGTACCCGGTTAATCGCACGAACCGGACACTCCAACCGTCTGATTTACCTGTAGATTAACCTACTTGACAACCTCTCTGTATCTAATGTATTTCATGTGTGGAACTGGCTGAACCGGTCGGTTAATTGCCCGGTTGCAGATAGGTCGGATAGAGCTAGTTCGATCGGTCGGTTAAGTGGGCGATTAACCTAGTTGATAACCTCCCCAACCGCCCTAAAGTAGGTTGAACCTCACGATCCTAGGTTAAATTTTTTGAGGTGGAATTAGCTTAACCGAGTCGAAAACCGTGTTATCTAGCTCCAACCGCCCGATTCTACCTCCATTTGGGCGGTTTCTTCTTTTGTTCTCGTGAAATACACTCATAAAAGTATTCGAAAAAGTTTCTGTTCACTTTGAAGAAGCACAGTAATTTTTTCTCACAAAGCAGCCTTTATTATATATCATCGGACGTAGTTTTTTATGCTTCGAACTTTTGCTTTTTAGGTATCTCGGATGAGATATGTGCAAAACAAAAGGCGAGCAATCATTTTGCAGCACCCTGTATATGAGAAAATACGCGCATTCACATTTTTATCTATGTATTTTTATTAGGTTCAAGTGAACTTTAAATTATGTGTTACAGAGCGGGAACTTAGCAATTAAAATAATCCATATCTGTATTTTTAATTCTTTTATTCGTTATCTGGCTTTACTGTCAAACCCGCGAATGTCGTTGTCGTAATTGGAGGTAGACCATGTGTCCCGAATTCTTGTTGTGTCTGAATCGAATGAACACGTTCTTCAAGTGGATCACCAAATACTTCTGAAATTGGTTGATGAATTATCTTTTGTAATTCCTCCGGATTCGGATAATTGTTGACTTTCATTGCTTTCAGTTGCATTATTGTACGACAGAGATTTTCGGCTTGCTCCTTCTTTCGATTAAAATTTGCTTGTTCAAATTCTGTATTATTGATTAAATAAAACTTCAGTGTTATATCCGGTTTAAATGCGTTCTTGTAGAAAGCAACCTGATCTGCGGACGATAAAAGACGAGCATTTGAAGCTGAATCGAGGTTACTATATTTTGAATATTCAATGTGAACCGTTATAACACGTTGAGCATCTTTTGATTCAATAATTGTATTTTCACGAATCGGTTCAACTTTTTTCTTTTTACAACAACAACATCGGAATGCATCGCAACAACCTTTTGTATCAGCAACAGGAACTAATCGAGAATGATCTTGTGCTTTAACATGTTTTTTTATATCCGAAGTATACTTGATACTGAGTATATCTTCAACAGGAATAATGATGACTTCTTCATCAGCCGACATATTTTCTTCTTTTGATGTGCTAACAGGACCCAAT